AAAAGAGAAAGTAGCGTAAAAATTTGAGCGTCTCTTCACCGCAGTGTAGTGTCTCAGTATTTTCAATTTTAAAGATTGGCCTTAAGAAATTTAGCGGCAGTATTATATCGTAGAAAAAACCATGATAAACAACTTCTACACTCTCATTTCTGCTCCAAAATGCATCCACGCAGAGACGTTCTAGGCAAGATCTCGAAAATGCACACTTTTGGCTCCCAAAACTCATTCTGCAGGTCAAATCCGAATTTCGCCACCAAATCATGTTCGAGAACATGACAATCGTTTTATATATACATCAACGCACAAAATACAAAGTTTGTCACAGTCACTTTTTTTTCAACGCTTCGTCCATACATGTCGAGAGCGTTATGGCGTTACGACTTTGGAAAAGCGTAAACGTCCTACGGCGTTCTAACCAACGAAAGTCGTTACGCTTTTACGTTCTTTTTACTCAGGGATCCACGAGTTTAAGAATTACCCCTATTCTAACCCATCTAATCGCATCTTAGTTGTCTATCTTCCACTGCGTATTCCGAGCCACCTACACTACTTCATAGTTTAAACACAGAACTACCGAAAGCAGGTAGGGAGGCATTGGCGGCATGAGAGTGATTCACCAGACCACATTCAACGGCAACCTGCTTGACTCATACGTAGAGACGTAAAGACATAAAGCCATTACGTGTTAACTGATCGGACATGCCTCGCTTCGTCCGGTCAATATGGTTCCTTGGAACTTTATGTTTGTTATAGTATGTAGATGTTTCCGTTTTGCAGACGAAATTTTATCCGAGCGATAGTTCGGGAGTTATATCGTAAATATTGCTTTTTTCCTGCATAGTTATTATTCTGTTTATGAGTTGAGTTATAGGCGCAGGCGCACTAACGATAATTAAGCGATTCTCGATAGACGGTGTGCGTTATGGTATGTGAGCCACGATTAAGTGTATTACGTACGTCAAAGAACATTATTATAAAAACATTTCAGTACAGAGACACAGAACGTTTTATTAACTCGCTAATATACTATTAGCTCATTTCTTCAACGTTTGCACTTCAGTTCAGTTTTGCATAATATTCCCTTGGTGTAGCTCTGCTAATTGTTAAAAATACTGTTCTTCACTAATTACATTTGTTTGTATAGAATACTAGCTAGTTCGTTCGAAAACTACTCGGAAACCGAACTTGTCTACTTCAGTATCTTCTACAAAGACACTCTGGCATTACAGCGAGACAGGGACGGGCCTACTTAGATCTTGTTTTGTCTTCTTTTAATTAGACAGATCTTGTTCAGTTTTATTCATTGGTGCTTTGAGACATGAGGAAAGGCTAATTAACTTTCGAGCGAAAAATGCCAGAGACCTACGGTCTTCATCCATCAAAAGAGGAAATTTAAAGACATCTTTAGAGTAACAAAAAGGAAATTCAAAAGGTCTTTTCGATAGTAGGATTTTGAGATAATCAGGTTGTTCTATGGCAATAGATCTAGGGAAATAAATATCAAAACATATAATTTGTAAAAAGGATTAATTTTGTCGGACGAACGCCGTCATGAAATGGAAAATATTTTAAAGCATTAATTTTGTTCAAAGATTTTTCAGAAATTCTATCTTCAGATCTACTCTTTCGATTGGTGAAGATCGGTTACTTTTCATTTAAAAGTAATTTGAAAAATAGTCATCCGTATTCTTTTTAAAAAAAGATAGTCCTACGGGAGGATACCCAAAGAACATTGAATTTTTGTTGAAATAAAATCTTATGTCTCAAACGTTAAGATAAATATGTATTGATCTAACTAGAAAACAGAATTAACCTTTTGAAGCCCAATGTTCATTCAAATGGACATTGGCATTATCATTATAACAAACTGAGAAAGTATTATTTGAAAAAACTAATCTTATATTAGTTGTAAAAAATTAAATTGGCTATCGAATGGTAAAAAATATTTTGTACATCTTTTACGCTAGCCGAGATATTTAAATTTTAAGATGAAGAATATTTTCGAAAAATTTAATTTTCTAAGGTACTTTAGGAAAAGCTTTTTATTGAACAACTTATCAAAATATGCAGGGAGGTGTGCTCTTTCAAATTATGTCAGCTGAAGAAATGATTGTTTAAACTGTTAGACTGCTGATGGTACAAAACGAAAAGTCATATTTTGCTCGGATTTTGGGGTCATTTTCTTAGTCATTCTTGATTTTCTTCACCACCTGGCCTAGCAACTCATTTTCTGTCAACTTCCTAAACTTAAATTACAAAGACTTAACTTTTCTAAAAAAGGAAAAGTAATTTTTTTCGAGTGTGAGAAAATCATATCGAGGTTTCCTATGTTCCATTTTCATAAGTAGTTGACCCAAAACCAAGCATTAAAGCCTTAGCGACTTAAAGGGTTAATGATGTATAAAAAATATCTTAAAGCATTCAGACATTAGTTGAATTTATTTTTCTTGACAAAAATGTGATTATACAAGCGAAATATGTGACGATATAGATGCATTAACAAGTGATACATTTTTCGATCTTGAATTTGATTGAAGAACACCATTTTTTCTCATATAATCATCATTTTTCAAATGTTGTTGTACGGACGATTCATCGTGTGTTGCTGATAAATTTATTCGTTTAATATCAATCATTTGTTTTTGTTGTTGTTGAAATTCGTATACTTGATATTGTTCGATATTCCTTGTTTTGTTTATCCATTTCATAGGTGATACAGTAGAACCACCATCTGAAAGTTCGAGCTCTGAACTACCTGCATAGCCTTCATCGAAATCAAGACGTACACTAGTAGTACACGTTTGAATATCGTTTCCCGAGGAAGAACTATGTGATGATGGAGAAATTCGTTGTTGAGTTGATGTTCGTTGCAATAAATAGATGGTGGCACAAGATTTTAAATTATCATCTGAATTATTTGATAATTGTTGATCATCGTGAACTTGTAACTTATTTTTAACTGTCTCATATTCTAAATATAAATATTTAGAATTATACGTATAACTGAGATGAATTAACTACTTACTACTATTGTGATGAGTTCCAATAGCTTCTGATAGTTTCTAAATAAGAGAAAAGATTTATAAATTGATGAAAAACTCTTCATCTCAACGAAAAATACTGTCAAAAAAGATAAAGTCGAGAAAGCTCTAGCCAATGTTTACGATGTTCGGTAACGAAGTGAAAATATTATCCTCCCCATGCTGTCAAAATGAATAGTTAGAATCACACTTTTTTAGTCAAAAGAATACCTGTTTCTTTTTAATTTCATTAATACATTTATCTAATGGATGTTGTTTTGTCGAATCTAATTGTTCATTCATTTTATTTAATATTTTTTGTTTATGTTTTCTTCTAAATAAGTGTATCATCAATAACATTGTTGATAAAACAAAGATAAAGGCTAGTATAGCAGCTAGAATAATTATCCATTGTGATTTTAAATAATTATTTACGTTTGATAATAGTTCTGATTGTTTTGTTTCAATAATTTCAATAAGAAATGTATCTTGAAATATCTGATCTAATTTTACGCTTAAATAGTATTTTCCCGGTATTGGTATTCTATTTGGCAACAGTTTTACACTACAATTTGACAATAACTGAAAATAATAATTCTCGTGATTTAATTTACATCCAGTACTATTAGAAAAATTGATAATATTTAAATTTGATAAAAATTGATTTTTTTGTAATGTAACATAGTTAAATAGCAGAACTTTTTTATCCATAATGAATGGTCGATGATTATTATTATCTAAAATTCGAATTGTTATATTGGCAAGAGTTTGATGTTGTTGATCATTAGCTAATATTTGAAATTGATAAATACTTTGAATTGTTCTATTAAAATATTTTGATGTAAATAATTCACCGGTTCGATGATCAATATGAAATGAAATATTTTCATTTTTTAAATTAAACTGAGTATTAGAATTTTGACAATTTGTCTCATATGTACGTAATAACAGTGTATTTAACGGTGTTGTTTCATTTATATCGATCAAATATTCTTGTTTATCAAATAAAATATTACAATCATCTGATGATTTTTGAATTAAGTGGAATACAAATGAACGATTTGTCCATAATGGTGGTTCATCATTATCACAAACATCAATTGAAAGATAAATTAGATTATGTTTAGTAAGTTGTTTAGTATTAATGGTCGATAGAATGTACGTGGCTTCTCCACCACTACGTGGACCACCTAAACGAACTAATTGTAATTGAAATTCGTCAGTATTATTTAAATGTACAGTTAAATTAATAGGGACAATTGTCGATGTAGATAGATAGTCTTTATCTTTTACATTAATCGTACAAATTGGTGTATAAGAAGCAGATGAATCATACAAAATTGTTGCAATATTTGATGGTTGTTGAATTGATACTGATGGATAAAAGAGGACATTTAAATCCGGTGGATTATCGTTAACATTAATAACATAAATTGTTACTTCGACAAATGACGGTAGCATGGATTCGACTTTTGCATCAATTGTAAATATGTATAACGATGTTGTTTCAAAATCGAGCATTGATTTTAAAATTAATTTTCCATCATATTTATCTAGTTGAAATTTGTTTGTTATCGTTTCATCACCACGTAATGAATACGATATTTGACTGTTAAATGAATTATCAACTAAATAGGCTCTTACACGTAATAATGTGGTACCAATTGCTGTTGATTCAGATACGGACATGTTGTATTGATCACGTTCAAATAGAAGTAGTACAGCGTCGGTTTTGATGAAAATAAGCGATAATAAAACAAAACATATTCGATAATGATAGTACATAATTGAAACGCATCAGATTCAAATTTTAAATATCATAAATTGTCATTGTATCGATTTATTCATTCATTTACAAATTTAAATATAGATATTTTACTATAAACAATAGAAAAGAGTCGGAAATGACGATTGACAGTTATGTCAACAATTTAACTCATTGGATTTGTCTTTTAATTTATTATGTGTGAAGGTAAATATCTGTTCTTTAGTATTATTGATTCTAATATAAACGTGTGTATCTTGATTAACATTCCATCTATAATAGAGATAAATAGATAAATAAAAATTAAATTGTTTATTCCGTAAACGTGTTCTATAGGAGAAATAGTTTCTGTTTAAATTAGAAAATTTGTCACTTTTCACACTCATAGGTAATCGACAATGCGCGTCAAATCCAATACCTTTTGCTACAGTTCTAGTGTACTCGTTTTCTGCTTTCTATTTTCTACAATAAATCTCTTACCTACTCTCAATTGTAACTATCATCTGGTTTTCTGCTCGTACAATTTATATTATTTTGTTCATCCAACAGCCTATCTTACCAGTATCTATCAAACTTTTTATTATTTCAAGAATAAGAAATGGAAGAGTGCAACCAATACCAGCGGGTTGTACTTGTCTACATGTCTACTCTATATTAACGGCATCGCTTTGAACTGTATTTTCATTTGTCTTTAAGTATCTGCATGATACAATATGTAGACTGATAAAACTACGATACTCAATCACCTTATACACTCACACACATATACACTAAATGATGAACCTTCATCAATACATGACCTTATGTACTAAGATTTAAAAGTGTTGATAAGGACAAACTCTTCGTTTTCTAAATCTTACCTTGATCATCTTCTAATCTTATGATTCTATCTGACAATAGAACACGTGTCGTCCATGATAATAATTAGTGAATGAATGACCGTTCATCATTAACATTATTATCTTTCTTTTTTTGTTACAAGATTTTTACAGTCTACCTTCTATTCTTCTCTTGAAGAGCAATTAGGCGTTATAATAAACACAGAGAAGAAAAGAAAAGAAAAAAACTTTTTTTTTATATATTTTCTAATTATTCTGTATGTATTCCCAGGAGCAATAGAAAGGAAATGTATGCGATGTCCTGTATTAGTTTTCTTTTTCTTAAAATAAAATTGATTGGTCAGTACATACATATATGTGTTGTCCATTTCTTATTATATATATAAGAAAATTTTTGATAATAATCATGTATAGCACCTATAGTAAATTATTATAGTAATATCAAGACCTATGAATACAACGGGTGGCATCAAGTAACCCACCATATGTTGAATTATAAATAGATATTATATACATGGTTCTTGCTTATTTTTTTCATGAAAATTTTCTATCCTCACATATTTGTAAAAAAAGTAATCATATTGAACTGTACATTCTTGTTTATCTATGTGATTAGCCGTACAATATTTAAAATGAATGAAAAACATTTCCGATAGCTTATTTTTCTTTAATAATCTCTGAACTTTAATTAGCAACATTTTTTTAGTGTATGCACTATAATATCAAAAAAAAATCTATTATTTTTTTTTTACTCAAGGCAAAACACTATTGTTCATTGAACATCAAACATACAACACAGCGATAGATTATTGAAAAATAATAGACTTGATGTGTTCAATTTTCTGTTAGATATAAGTCACATAGTTATCAATGGGTGTGGTGTATATTTCCTGTTAAATATATTGTGGTAGACTAGTGATGTTTATGATTGTCGAAGCGTAAAGAATCAAGGAATAATAACATTATGTTTCAAAGAATAAAGTTAGTCGATTCGTAGCCTAATAAAAATAATTTCTATTGAAGTTCCGCTATGATGTAAAGGTAATAGTAATCTTCCTTAACAGAGTCGTTTGAAGTGATTAAAATCAGATCTTGAAATTTTCATCATATTTCTGATATAATTCGCTCAGGTTTCATCGAGAAGAAGAAATATTTCACAGGTAGACATATCTAACTGTCAGTTAATGATTAATATAAATTTTTTTGTTTTTTAATTTTAATAATCTTAATGAGTCGATAGCCCTTGTCTGATCATCATTCTCCCCTGAATAGTGATGTACCATTAGATTAATTGTGGGACGTAGACAACTTGATTTCAACCAAACATTTTGTACCATCTTGTAGAGAATTTTCTGCTCTATAGTCCGTATGAATTGCCAAATCATTCAGGCTTATGTTTAGTTAATTTAATTAGAAATTACGAATATGAACGAAATATAATCGTTTTATTTATTTTACTGATTTGAGCTAATTATGGTCATTCTTCTATTTATCATGAGATAATTAGAGTCCGTTCATGAAAATCGTAGAAAGAAGATAGAAAACGTTTTTCACAACCTCTCCGAAGCCAACTTTGATCATATAGATCATAGGAAAGTTGTACAAAACATTCTATTCTGCCTTATGAAGTGAAAATCGAGAAAGAAAAACGTCAGCATCGTGCAAACAGAATGTCGACCTTGCATGTTGTTTTTTATTCATTAAAAGAAGTAAAATGATTAAGATAGAATCTTAAACTAGCAATCAGATAAAAAATGAGTTCAACTTTTCATATACTCTGGGCAAGTTTCTTGTATGATGAAGAGGAAGATTTTTGTTTTATTTTTCATGAACTTTTTGTTCCATTTCGGATATGATCTGACACTTTGATGTAATTGTTGAGAAGAAGTGTAAACGTTAATGACAATTATGTGTTAGCTTGTACAATAATTTAAAATCTTTGAAGTTTTAAATGAGGAATACATCAATTCTGACATGATGTAATGTTCATCATAACAATCGGAAGAATATAGAAAAAAGAAAAATGAGTATCGAGTGTGCACTTTAATATAATAAAAAAAAAGTATATTAAAATCATTTTCAGAAACACAAGAAAGAGAAAAATTGTCTTAGACGCTGTGAAATACAATGATCAGTTAAAATATAAAACACTCTTGTCCATGATAAAATTCACAGTTGTTTAATTTATGAATACGATTTATAATAGAGAAGATTTGAAAAAACTAAAAACTATCTATTCTCTTCTATAGATTTATCTCTATACACAATGAGTCATCTTGTATAATACAGGTGAAACTATTTTTCTTCAACTAGCTTAATATATAAATATCAAAATAGTTATAAATAGTAGTCTGGACTTGTGCACAGCTTGTGTGTGTCTATACTAGACTAGAGGCCATTATCATAATTATAATCGTAAAGTGCAACCATTACAGATTTTGTTTAAATGTGTAGTAACGTAGACACACGAAAAAAGAATGAGACCATGACAGAAGAATAAAACTATTTAAAAAAAGTTGATTAATGAAGCTTGGCTCTATCATCGTCTCCAAAAAAGAAATAAAAAAAATAAAATTGATGAACAAGGGAAGAAGAAGAAGAAGAAGAAGAAGAAGAACAATCTCAGTATACCGAGAATATCCAATTTTAAAGGTATTTGTCAATAACACGCAATAGTCTCATTTAAAAAACGACAACATAGGTTTATTTCTATATATATTTTGACGTGCTAAAATTAACTTTGTAAAATTATAGCTTTTAACTTTATTCACTGTGTCTAAAGTAGTAGAACAATGGGTCACCATGTTAACTGATATTGTTGTTGCATACACATGTACTTCATTCATCGATTCCATTATGTTTATAAAACATGAGACACTTCATCTTAGAAATGTAGAATGAATAAAAAGAACACTTGTGTGGTGATAACCATGGCCCTGATGGCAGTAATTTCTTCTTACATTCGATCTGTATATTAATTAAATAGACTAAAACGATATCAAGTGGGTAGGTTCAAGAACAGTAGGAAGCAATTTTAATTTACGTCAAATGTAAAAAAATGGGTTGAGGAGATCGTAACAGCTAATAGTTAAAAAATAGAACTGAAAAAAGAAGTACCTTTACAATGTAATATTTTTAAAAAAGAAAAGTCATCAAATACAATGATGATTTGAATTTTTGAATTCAGTTCTATATTATTCCCATTCATACAAAAAAAATTGATTGTTATATATCTCTAATTTCCGGCTAATAGACTTAAGTATAGAAAAGTCTGATTTGACATTAAAAACACAATGAAAAACATTAAAGTATAATTACACGATATTGAATACCGTAGTCTATAGAGCTTCTTTCTAACGTAAGGTAACATTTATATGTACATGTAGTACTTCTTTCCATATGGATTTGATTTTTTCGAATTTATGTTCAATTGTCTATTCTAAGAAGATTGGCATAGAGAATACTTTGATGGTATAATTATGTTTTACTACCCCAAATTTTTTCTCTCTCTCTCTCTCTCATCATCATTAATAATTTTCATGTCATTATTGCTCACTTTCGTCTTAGCTAGTCGTTCTAATCTATTTTCTATTAATGGAAGAAAAAAACAGAGAGGATATATGTATGTATTAATGTGTCTAACTTAAAAAAAATCGAGACGGATTAACAGGTATTATCTACAATTGAATAAAAGAGAGTCAAATGTTCAAAGAAAACGAAACAGCTGGAGATTCTAACGAGTTTATCTAATCTTCTTTCTTATTTCAGAAATTTTGTTTTCCAAAGTTTTTTTCAAGAATAAACTGATTAACCAATTTTATTAACCATTTTTAGAAAAAACAATAACTATAACTGTGTATCTAACTAAATGACATTCAAAATTACACTTATAGCAGTTGTTTGTCATGTAACTCATTTTAAAATTAACTTTATTTTTCGAGAAACGAGCCAATATATAAAGTAGTCTACGTTGATATTATGATAACACACAAGTTTGTTTGCCTTATTTCATCGTTAAATTGAATAGTTCATCAAGATTAGTCATTTTTATGAGTTGGATGAATAGATCGAACTATCTAAGTTAC